TGCTTACGATATTGTATTTATATAGGCTACTAACACTTGTCGAATAACGACCAATGTTTTTCAAAAATAAAAAAACTGCTGACAATTTTACACTTAATTTGTGCAACTTTCTTCGGATCAATAAAAAAATTCCAATTAAGTATGGGACGGCGTGCGCATGCGTATCAACATCACTTGCAAAAGGTAAGAGACTTGGCGGTGTTTTTTTTTTCACTGAGGCCATGAATTAAATTACCAATCAAGCATTGAGCGAAGAAAGAAAGAAAAAAATAAATTAATTTTGTAACGGCAACCACTGCCCACAGATGAAGAAATATTTCTCTTTTCAATATTTTTTCGGTGATTTTCTCACCAAAAGAAGACAAAATTTAAAATTAAAAGGAAAAACTCCCACACTCGAATGCGAACAACATTTGCATGGCCTCCCCAACAAAATGGAGAACCCAAAAAGGGGGAAGAAATATTAAAACAAAAGAGCTATCAAGCATTTTAGCATAAAATACAATTTGTCATACAAATGAATGAAAAAAAAAAACAATTTTAAGGTTAAACTCAAATCAATGACAATAATGTTGAGAAGATATGCCAAGTTAAAAAATTGTTATGATAATTTTTTGTAAAAAAAAAGTTTCATACATATTTTGAAGAGTTAAGGAGACTTGCTCCCATGGCTAGATGGATTGCAATACATACAAAAAAATGCAGAAAGGTGTCGTCTGTCTTGGATGGTGGGTTGTTTCTTTTTTTCTTTTGGGTTTTCTTCTCCATTCCAAAAGAATGGTTATAAATCGTCCATAAAGATAATGCAAACTCATAAAAATGGCCATAACAATGGCTTGATGGCACATAAATGTCAAAAGATGGTTCACAAAAACAAAAAGAAGAAAAAATAAACCCCCACTCACTGCAACATATGCCGGAACTTGATGTTCGCCCTGCTAATGGAATATGGAATTCCAAAATAGCTTTTAACGTTCAACCGAGGGTCCATAAGCGTGTGCCTAGTTTGAATATCAAGTGCATTTCATTTCATTTGCTTCTTTGGAGACCCAAATAAAAAATCGATTTAAATTAACACTTTAGTCTTCTTCTTCGGTTTTTGTTTTCAATTTCCATTTCATCTTCTTGTCTTTTGTCCACAATCATATCCATTCACTTAGTTAGCTGGATAACCGCCATTGAGCAAGCTCTTCAAATATTTACGCACAATAAAGCAACAACAACAAAAAAAAATCGTTGAATGAAATTGATATGATGTCGGAAGGGCTTGTTGCGATCGACCGTTGATCTTGGCCTGCACCACCACACTTTAAGTAAGTGCTTGAGCTGGCATTGATAGTTGTAGGTGTTTACATTTTGGTGCAGGGCAATGTTATGGATATTTCCCCTTTTTATTATGGCATGACACCGAGGCCAGATATTGCTGGAGCATCAGCCTCACAACGGCCTGACGACGTTGTTGATGACAATGGGAACAGAATATTTTTGTACAAAATACTGCAACAAGGTGCTCCATGTTATCATTTTGTTTTTTTGGTTGTACGCTATATTCGGTAAACTTTGGATAGCCCTAACACATTGGAAAATCTGCAAATTTGAAAAAGCAAATGGTCCCTGATATTTAGAATCCTCGTTTATGTCTTAGATATGGGCTAATTTTTTTAGATATGGATTAAAAAAGAATATTTTTAAAAATGCTAGCCTTGGTCCAGATTTTTTTTCAAAAATCCTTAAAAAAATATTCCTAAAAATAAGCCTTGGACCGGAAAATCAAAATCATAAAATCATAAAACTATCAGCTTTGAGTCCATATAAAACCCAGAAAAACCATAGCTTAAGCTCATGAAAAAAATATTCTTTAAAATCCACTTTTGACATTTAGAAAAAAATCCAAGCTTTGGTCTCAGTTTGAACCTGAGGGGTCAAAGTTTCACGGTTTGAGTCTCAGTTAGGCTCTTAAGGAAGGCCGCGAAAAAACCCTAAAATCTGCTAGTCCACGCTAACGTATCTGCTAGTTCCTGACCATTGATAGAATAATCTACGCTTTTTGTCTCAGTTAGGATCTAAAGGAAGGCCCTGAAAAAAAAATCTTAAAAATATTCCCTTTAATCACAAAAAAATCATAAAATTCCGGCCCTGAAAAATCGGATTAAGACCCTGAAAAAATATTCTTTAATATTCCTGGAAAAATGTTTGAAAAAAATCCAGTCCCTGAAAAATATTTTCTTAAAACCACATTTTATCCTGGATCGATAATTGAAAAAAATCCAAACTTTTGCCTCAGCTTGATATCTGCTAGCCCCTGAAAAAAATATTCTTAAAAATCCACGCTAATGTATTTGTCACTGCCTGAAAAATATTCCTGAGAATCTGCAAACAAATTAGAAATCCTCACATGTGTCCCTGCTTATCTATAGAAGGTCTTCCGTTTATATAAAAATCCACGCTTTAAGTCCACAATATCAATATGTTATCAATCTACCTGTAGAAAGACTTCCATTTATAGGGGACTTGTCCTCCTTTTTTTCTTTTTAAAGAAGACCTATATTTTCTATTTATGGAAGACCAAGAAAGGGTATCCATTTGTACAGGACCTATGGAGGGTGTTCTTTTTTATAGAGGATCTATAGAATTTATTGCGGACCTTCTATTAATATAGGACCTATAGAAGGTGTTCTAGAAGGGTTTCTATTAATGTATAGTATACTACAGTATTCTCCATTTGCAGAAGACCTAATGAAGGTCTTCTTTCTACAGAGACCCTAATGAATGTCTTATTTTTATAGAAACCTTTGAAATATATTTTATCTATAGAAAATATATAGAAAGGCTTCCAAATATAGAAGATCTCTAGATTTTAGAATATCGTTTAGACCCTTCTGTAGGTTTGTCTTCTAGCCCCTATATATGTGTGACCTATACAAGACCTGTAGATTGCATCTCATTCGGCAATGCCCATATGTTAGCCCTTTTCAGATATTTCATATGCATTCCTGCACTGGTCAGTTGCCACGGCTGGACATTTTTTCTGGTTTGTTTGTAGAGCTCTTAACATGGAATTGATTTGCATAAAATGTGAAATGAATGCTGTTAAATGGAATGGATGTCCGTCCATCCGGCGAACGAACGCCTGAGCTGACAGACAGACAACGACACTATAAAGAGTTCTTTTGTTTACCCCAATGCTCGACCCCAAGTTGTCAACATAATCGCCGAGTATGGGAGACATCATGGTGTGTTTGCATTCGTTTTGTCTTGTTCTTCTTTTCCTTCATATTCTGACCAACTTATGCTTTCATGGCCTGATTGGCCTATTCGACCCATATTATTATTATTGTATCAGCCGACATGTCGTTAATGTCATCTTTCATTATCGCATCAAAAAAGAAATATTTAAAGACCTGCATAATATGTTAGCCGGTATGTCATTCCACAGATTCTTTAAAACAACTGCATCACGCTTTTCCAGCTCCTCCCCACACTCCCCACTCAGGGGGAACACGATAAAAAAATATTTATGCATTCTACCCGGCTGGGGAAGCCCTTTGGAAGAACAACAAAAAATATAATTTATATTTTTGGGAACACAAAAATAGAATAACAACAACAAAAACAAATGATGTCAAGAACTTGTGTTGTGGATGTGTGCCTAGTCGATTTCATCTTCTCTAACTAAGTGTTTAACATAATATAGAACACCTAATGAAATACGAAAGAAAGGTTCCGCTCTGCAGGTTATTTTCAAATGATGGTGCCTTTAACGCGACCTCCTTTGCTTATCAAAAATGTTTTTTCTAAAATTGATTTAAGATTTTGTAAAGGCGTCTTAAAAGACATTTTATTAGCCCGAATGGCCATTAAATTATCAAAACACTTAAGAAAACAACAATGGGATATGATTTCCAATAAAAACAATAACTCTCTCAAACGCACACACAGGGGCACACGTGAACTAAAGAACCCCTCTTGAAAACGCCAAGAATGTCAACTCATCAGACAATGCTGGGCAGCGGATCACCTGTTGATCCTTTCATTATCTAAAACAACATTGTGGGCATCGCTTAAGATTTGATTTCTTTTTATGACCGCCACTACCATTGTTGACCATCAGAATCTTTTTGTTAATATTTTGACTTTTAACGAATTTATGAGCCATTTAGATTTGGCCAAAACAATGGATATTCATTAAACGTTCTATAAACAAAACCCCCGCAAAGCCATAAACCTGCAACTCGCAACCACAAAGGCAAATATCCTAGTCGGCGTCTCTTTGGGCCCTGAACATAAATAATACACCAACCTTTTTTGTCAATAAAATCATAATGAAATGGAATCCTTTTATCGTTTGTTTTTGGTTCTTTGTTGTGGTATTTTGAACTAAAAGGGAATTTTTTGTAATTTATGGTGTTGTGACCACTTTTGAATTCTTTAGAAATTAATTTTTAATTAAAAAATCGAATCAATATTAAGAGGCTATTTATGTAGTTGTGTACTCACATATAACAGGGGCGATCGGCACAGGTTACTCCTGGTTTGCAAATTTTACCATCACCAACCATGCCTAGGGGACAACGGCCACATCTGGGTCCTGACAAATTGTCATAGCATTCGACACCTGTAAGAAAAAAAAAAATTAGGAATTAAAGTCATCCAAAGCGGAATTCAATAAGATATGAAAAAGTTTAAAAATCTAAAATATATATTGTATTTATAAAGACCTGTGGGTCTCTATAAAGACCAATTGGTCTGCATAGAGATTCCGCTTAAGGAATTTATAGGTTTCTGGATTAAGTAAGGAATTTTTTTAATAGTTTATTTTCCCACAAGTTAGTGAGTGTGACACAGAAGTTTATATTCTTCAAATCAGGTGGCTTTTTGTCCACAAGAATTGTATGGACCATAAAAAACCCTCCAAATATTGCTATTAATATCTGTCAAATTATTATGATTATTTTTTATTATTATTATAATTTTTTGTTGTGATAACTTTTACAAAAGAAAAATTCATTTTAATTACAATTTCTAGTCAAACTTTAATCTCTACACGGAGATTAGTCAATTTCGGTCTTGTCTCTCCCCTTAATTTTTTTATTGAAAATTCGTGTTTATAACTGTACCGAGTGGGGTTTATCAAACGGATTTCAAGATAATCGCTGATAATGATCCATTTTTGGGAGTGTAGATCATAAATCTTTTTATAATTATGTATGATGAAGATCCCCACACACCGAGAGGGAGATAGCGAGGCACACATTGTCACATACAATGGTTGGGGCACACGAAATAAATCTATGCATAAATCATCACCTTGTGCCACTATCGCTGTGACCATCAAACAATGCCCACAACATCAATAAAATTTTTGTAAAAAAAAAATTAAAAATAAAAGAATGAAAATTCGAATTTCCTAATATAAAGACAAAAATGTCACTAACAATTTATTAATAAAACAATACCTTGTATTTTTGGCCAACAATTTTTGGAACTCTTGCAAGAAAGGGGACCAAATATGAAATAAATTATACCAAATTGGAATAATATTGGAAAAAAAATTTTAAAATTATGTAGCATCGATTATGAAATTAAAAAATAAATATTTGTCTATGTTTTCTAGTAAATTTAAATAAGCACCATGGGTGGGAAGGCCAGTGCTTTGGTTGCCGAGAGCAAAAAATCTATAGAATGATAACCGAAATAAACATCGGAAACTTAAGAATCGTTTGATTTCTAATCAGTTTTCTAGTTTTGCTCAAGAAAATGATTCAACTTCCAATGAAAGGGGTCATTCAATTCATATATAGAAAATATCATGGAGAAACCCATGAGTTATATTTTATACCGACTTCATCATCAATTAAAACTTGAAATTTATAATCTACTCACCTGGATAGCAAGGATTTGAGGTACGACATGTTGGCTGTATATCATTGTCACCTTTGGTTTCCTTGCAGCCGGCACAATTCTCCAGCAACATGCGCAGATAGGCAATTTCTTGGCGCTGGTGGGCGATATCTTCACGTAGCAGTTTTACCAAAGCCATTAAATCGCTTAGGGATTTTGCGAGGGCGTCTGTAACAAAAATATAGAAAATAAAAAAAGTATTAAAATAAGAAGAGAAAAAACTTTAAACACACATACACATATGTAGAGAGATTAATGTTTGTGTGTGTAAACCACACAGATGTGATTTGGCTAGGAATAGCGCAAAGGAGCTACATAGCCAACCACCAGGTTCAGATTATTTGTCACCATTATTGGTAAGTTGTGTGCTCAATCCCCAGGTGACATATGTGCAATGTAAAAACAACAACATCAACATCACCTACAATGAAAAATGGTTCCCTCTGTGGTAGTAGCAGTTTGAGGTTTATTCTAACACCAAATCAGCAAACATTGTCAACCTCTAGTAAATAGTTTTGTTTATTGTTGTTGGTAGCAGACTACCTGTCCATCTAGCTAGTATCTCAGCTACGTGTCTGTATGTAAAATATGTAACAACGTATGATACCGGAATTTTGTTTGCAATGTAGATAAAAGTCATAAAATACTCTCAGACACGAAGGATAGAGGAGAGCACTCAAGACCCAAATGAGAGTAAAAGTGTAAGAGATAATATGACAAGATTAAGGTCATGTTTTACATAGAAATATGAGGCTAAATTTATTAGAGTGGGTCGACGGAAAACATCAAACAATATAAATATTATCCATAAATCATATCAAATTGGTCTTTGTTCTCCATACCGAACAATTGATTTTTATAAAGACGTGTGGTTTCCATACAGACCAATTAGTCTTTATAAAGACCTGTGGTCTCTATACAGCCAAATTGGTCTTTGTAAAGACCTTTGATCTCTATACAAAATAATTGGTCTTCGTAAAGCCCTGAGAGTCTCTATACAGCCAAAGTGGTCTATATAAAACCCTGTGGTCTCCATACAGCCCAACTGGTCTTTATAAAGACCTGAGGGTCTCTATACAGCCCAGTTGGTCTTTATAAAGACCTGAGGTCTCTATACAGCCCAATTGGTCTTTGTAAAGACTTGTGGTCTCTATACAGCCCAATTGGTCTTTATAAAGACCTGAGGGTCTCTGTGCAGCCCAAAGACATTTGGGCTCTACACAGACCAATTTGGTCTGTATACAGACCTGAAATGACGTCTATACCAAACATTTGGTCTTGGTACGAAAATCCTTTTATCAAGTGAAGCATTTTGCGACCCTATCTATTATCCCCACTCACATTCTTGGCACAAATGTGCATCTGGTTAAATAGTCAATGCAATTTGGAATGCGTTTTTTATATTTTTGTTGTTGTTGCTCCTCTCTGGGGTTGATTGGTTTAGCACTCGTTATTGGTGATTATTGTTTAGTGGCTGTTATGGATATGGTTATGATCGTGTGGTCATGAATGTGGCTGCGGATGACGGCGCTCAAAGCTCAACGGTTATGATGATGATTATAATGTTGATGTGATGCTGATGTTTGTTGTCGTTTTTGTTGTTGTTGCTGCTGCTGATTGCAAAGCTAATCTTTAAGTACATTTTAAGCTGATTCATTTCCATTTAAGCCATACATCTCACGCAACACACACGGCGAGACATTTGTGGGCACACCATTTCGGTTGGTTTTGATGGTGGCATTGCCATTTGAGTTGTCGTTTCGGCCTTTTTTGCTTTTGCATTTCTGGCCATATATTCGTGCGTTTTATGAGGTACTTCACAAACAAAAATATGTCACCATGATGCGTTTTTGTGAAACTCCTTGATTGGGTTTCATTTGAGGGAAGCGTCTCTTTTTTTGTTTTTCTTATTTAATTTATCGACTATTTACATACCTTCACAATCACCGGACATTACTGGAATATCACCACGATGATCCATATCCAAGGGTATCGCCTGCTGGCGATAATGCTCAACGCTGGTGCCAGGTTCTTGATTGTACCAGTTGCGAACATCACGTTTTTTGTTCTTCTCTGTAAACAAAATGGAGGGGAAGAAAAAGAGAAACAACATTTTAAAAATGTTAAAGTGGATCTGTGTAATGCCTGGGAGGATAAATTTTTCCATGAGCAATTTGAAATGTATAAATATTGTTTTAAATGCTGTGAAGAGTGGCGTCTTACCTCTTTCAGAAATTTTATTCTTCAACATGCGTCTATTACCGCGCCGAGTCAAACCCTTTTGACAGTTAGCTCTCTGCAGGGCAGCATCCACATTACCATCGAAATGTAAGGGATATTTACGTTCACGGAACTTAAAATAAAGAAAAAAAAAACAGAAAGTTTTCAGTATCGTCTGTATAAGTTTTCGGGTCTACATAGAGATCACACATGGTCTGTATAGAGTCCCCAGGTCTTTACAAAGACCAAAGGTCGTTATAAAGATCAAAGGTCGTTATATAGAGAAGTTCTGTATAGAGACCAAATGTCTTTATAAAAACCAATTGGGCTGTATAGAGACCAAAGGTCTTTATAAAGACCAATTGGGCTGTATAGAGACCAAAGGTCTTTATAAAGACCAATTGGGCTGTATAGAGACCAAAGGTCTTTATAAAGACCACACGTCTTTATATAGATCACATAGGCTGTGTCTATATAATGTCCAGTGGTCTCTGGTCTTTACATAGACCACATGGGCTGTATAGAGACCACGGGTCTTTATATAGACCACATGGGCTGTATAGAGACCACGGGTCTTTATATAGACCACATGGGCTGTATAGAGACCACGGGTCTTTATATAGACCACATGGGCTGTATAGAGACCACGGGTCTTTATATAGACCACATGGGCTGTATAGAGACCAAAGATCTTTATATAGACCACATGGGCTGTATCGAGACCACTGGTCCTTATATAGACCACTGGTCTTTATATAGACCACTGGTCTTTATATAGACCACTGGTCTTTATATAGACCACTGGTCTTTATATAGACCACTGGTCTTTATATAGACCACTGGTCTTTATATAGACCACTGGTCTTTATATAGACCACATGGGCTGTATAGAGACCACAGGTCTTTATATAGACCACATGGACTGTATAGAGACCAAAGGTCTTGGGTTATCTTATATTTTAAGGCTTAAGTTTAACTTACCAACTTCACCATAGGATCATCCATTTGGGTATACAGCTTCGTAAGATTCATTTCGATTTCATGAGCCGAAGTCTCCTTACAGTCTACCAGCAGGGATATACGATTCTTATGGAAATGTAACGCCAATGAACGTATGGTACTCGTCTCATTAATCTGGGGTATTTCGAAGTGCAAGGAATCCATCGAACCGCCGGCGCTAATGTCCAAGGTTACCCTTTGTTGTTTGCGATCCAAGAAGAAGGACATTTTATGTTTCAACGTGGGAAAATCAATCATAAAGAGGGCCTCAATGGGGATGTGTAATTTACGTCGTGGTCTAAAGCAAAGGGAAAAGAGAGAAAGGAAGAAATATGTATTTTGTTATCCTGTGTTCAACATTTCAGGGTATAAGTGTAATTTTGTTAAATTTCGAAATCACAACCTGTGGTGTTGTTAAGCACACACAACGTGTGGGATTTTTGCTCATATTTTACACCAAACTTTTTTAACCGTTTAATCTTTTTAAATTGAGTGTTAAGTGGTGAAAACTCCACCCATTTCATTTTGACCTCAAAAACCTGTCCTCGAATCTTTTTGCGAAAATAAATTGCGAATAAATGTTATTATTATGAAAGGATTACAAACCTTATGTGACGCATGGATATTACACAGTCACCCTTCTTGATGTGCTGCTCCAATTCGGCAGAGGCCACTGAAACAAAACGAAGTTAAAAAAGGGATAGGTTGTAGATGTTAAAATTGTTGATCTTTCAAGCCACAAAAAAAACAGAAAAACAACAAAGGAAATAAATATTTAAATGGCACTGTTATCTTTCATGTAATCGAATTGTACTTCAATAATAAGTTAAGCAATATTTTTCACATAACACACACAACGTCCCGACAGATAGACAGACACATCTGTGGTGATGTGGGACATTGGTGTCAGGAATGGGTTCAATATTCTCCACGTAATGTCGTTCTCAAGTACCCCGACAACAGCTCCAAAGCGAAACTTATGTCGTGCTGAGTTTTCTATATTTGTTGTTTTTTTGCGTTCCACCAACTGACTTACCTGGATCTAAAGACAATGACGCCACTTGGCTGAGGCATAGCAGCGCCGTTAATATACCAAAACATAACCAATTCATAATGATTATTTTTGGGCAATTGTTGTTGTTGTTGTTGGTATTTTTTCTCGCTTATTTTTTCTTTATTGGACTTGGGGTCTCAAGGCACAAGGCAGAAAATATCACACCAAAAAACGTCGTCGTCTGTCAATGGCAAATAAATCGTAACTGCTTATAATTTTGTTACCGTTGTTGATGTTGTTGTTATTGTTGGCGGCCAATACATAATCTACTCGTCGAAAACTGCAAAGAAAACAGAAATACATAAATAAATAAACAATACACACATAAATAAATATAGATATTTTGTTTAAATGGAAAATTACAATTTTATGTATTTAACCACTCTAGAGGGAAAGGAAAAAAATAAGAACATGGTAGGGTTTCCGTTTGATACTCTTTTTCCTACACTATATGGGTCCAATGTTTATACAAATAGGAGACCATACGCTAATGGATCAATCACAAAAAAATTATTAAAAAAGGGAAGAAGTTTATTTGCCAAATTCAGAATTGGCCTATGCTATGGGGATTTTAACTCACATACATACACAGACAAGGTGCGGAGCATATTTTAACATATGAACCGATCGATAATCAAATAATAGAGTCCCAGATTCGAAAATATATCAAAATAGGGGATAAATTTTAAAAGTTCGGTCAATAGGAAAATAATTATTGAACTATAGAACTCAAGGAGTTAAAAATTGCAACAATGACATACATGGAGACACAAAGAAGCCTGAAATATCATATCGACTATTAAATTAAATAATCCCCAATGCTAAAAGACAAGCCTACATAAAAAGCCATTTGAATGCAATCTAATCAAATCCAACGGAGATTTATAAAAAGTGGAGTTTTAAAAGCAATGAAAAGGAATACAAAAGGTTTCATACGAAATGGATCTCATACTTTTATAAAGAGGGGCATGAAGCATTCATACGTGGATCGTTCTAAAATTCTAAAATTTTAATAGAATACCGATCCTCCTTAGATACAATCCTCATCCAATGACGATATTGACATAAGGACAATAACCCATAGAACCTCACTCAATGATCGTATAGGTGTTGTTGTAGCGCCCTACAAGAGACCCGAGAAAAAAGTGATTCAAGTGTCAGATGTTGAAGATCATAGTCTCCATCAATGGGAGGGAAATATATTAAAGGTTAGTCAGAAAACCCAATTGACGTGTGTATACATTAGGTATTTAGGTATAAAACTGGACTTAAACATCTGTTGGGGGATGTGTAAGGTGCTTTGTATAGATTTAATAACTAATGACATTTTCACTCTAATTTGGATCATCCTGATATATAAACAACATTTTCCGGGGATCAATATATAAAGGATCTATCAAATGTATAATTTTGAGAGAACATTTTATAAAGCTGATACTCTGATAAGAATCGCGTAACGGCCCTATGAAGGTATTTATACCCTACACAACAGTGTTGCCAGGGTGTTGTAGCTTTGTGTGGCCGCAGAAGTTTGTAACGCCGCGAAATATTGGTCCTAGAACCGCCTTTTAGTATAGCTCAACTAGATGAGTCGTTCTAGCCATGTGTGCCAGACCACAGTTATAGATCAATTAGACAAATCGCTACAGGCCACAGTTATGGATCAATCATCAGGAAATTGTACATGTAGGGCCGGTTCTGGTCAAAGAATGTTCCCATTGTGTTTGGCAAGGGTCGGTTGTGATTTAAATGGACGAAAAACTTGAATACCATCGCGAATAGCTTTTTTCTGGAAAATTCTTACCAACAATATAATGAGCTGTCACTGGAATAATTTTAACAGCTGTCGGACGAGTGGCTCAGAAATGACAACAGTCTGAAGATGGGTGCAGTTTTTCATCTCACCCTGTATAGATGAAAGACCCTTCGGAGGATTTTTTTTCATTTCTTTCCAAGGACTCTATGAACAGAAAATCTGATAAAGGGAACATTATAATAATGTTATGTAGACATAACTTTACTTAAAGATATTCTATGAACGGAATTTTTCCAGAGCTTTCAGTGATATCATATTTAAAGTTTCGCATACAATTGTTCATTCTATACGGCATAAAACTGCACCCACTATTATTTTCCAGGTTTTTTTCTCATTTTTCAGTTTTCATAAATAATATTCCATTATAATGTCCTGCAGCTATGCAGCCTTTATCCTCTTATGTTAGAGGTTAGCGGAGACATGTGTTGCACTAATTTCCCGACCTATTTTCCTTCTTTCTTTAATTCCTATTATGGTCACACTAGTGCAAATACTCTCGAGATTTCCTTTTGATTAACACATGTTTTTACTCCATACGTACATATGTGCTGACTTTAGGTCTTAAACAACATAATTATCGAACTACAAATCGATGCACTCATGCGTACACACACGCACGTAAACAATATCATTGATTTACTTTGTTTTTCTTTAATTTCAAATCATCAACCACCAAAGTAAATATTTATAGTTAACACCTATTTTTATTTTCAAAAGAAATTTAAACAACCGATAAAAAAAATTGTGTCAAATTTCCCAGTGATAAATTACACCTCAGTGTGGTGGTGGCGGTCGTACTGGTAGGGCCGGCATAGACTACAGACAGATCAATGTATAGATCTTCCTTAGGTATACAAAAGAGCAGAGTAGAGTAGAGCAGAGATCAATATCGTTAAACCGGCGACAATATACTTGACTACGAATCTACTCTGTACGCTACATATGTATCTCTATGTGTTTTTCTAAACAATGAGGTAAGATTTGTTTGATTGTTATTATTGCTGTAGTTGTTGTTGTTTTTTTCTGTATTTCGACAATTGTTATTTTATAGAGCCGGTATTGCCTGTCGTTACTTCTATGCGACTGAACAATGTGGTTAATGCCAAAATTAGCCTAGACCATATAAATCCAGGCAACATATTTAAGAACACGATAATCATGAAGACACGCACAAGATACGTATATATAGACGAACATATATACATATACTGTGATAAAAGAAAATTACAACGATATGTCAATAGGCAAAAAGACAAATGAAAAAGCAAAGACAAACAAAAAATTATGACAAAATTGCAGACAGTGGTGTTTGGATGCGAAATGAAAAAAATGTTTTGGCATTTAGACCGAATTTTTAATTTAGAAAAAAATCTGTCTCGAGTTATTTTTTAAACCCATGGAATGGCAAATTATTTCTATACAAAAATTCAGCTCCAAAGTCATACAAATTCCTCATAGAAAAATTATTCCGGATGACTCCAAACTGTTGGACCGACGGTTTTTTTATAGAAAAATGCAATACTATGGACTTGCGATTTTTCTATAGGAAATCAGTTCAGAGTACTAAAGGGGTTTTCTACAGAAAAGCGGTCTAAAGAAATTAGGCAGCAGAACGCGATATTTTTAATAGTCCCGAAGTTCGACGTTTTTCTAGATTTCTTGAGGATTTCCTATAGTTAAAAGTCAGTTTTTTCTATAGAAAAAAAATCTATCCTGATAGAAAAAAATCAGACCTGAGTACTAACGATTTTTGTATAGAAAAAAATCAGTCGGTCCTGGGCACTGATAATTTTTTTCTGTAACAAAAAAACTGTCCTGGGGACTGACGAATTTTTCTCTATAGAAAAAAATCAGTCTTGGAGACTGACGATTTTTTTTCTATAGAAAAAAAATCAGTCTTGGAGGCTGACGAATTTTTTTCTATAGAAAAAAAATCAGTCTTGGAGACTGACGTATTTTATTCTACAGAAAAAAATCAGTCTTGGCTACTGACGATTTTTTTTCTACAGAAAAAAATCAGTCTTGGCGACTGACAATTTTTTTCTATAGAAAAAAAATCAGTCTTGGCGACTGACGAATTTTTTTCGATAGAAAAAAAAACAGTCTTGGCGACTGACGAATTTTTTTCTATAGAAAAAAATCAGTCTTGGAGACTGACGAATTTTTTTCTATAGAAAACAAATCAGTCTTGGAGGCTGACGAATTTTTTTCTATAGAAAAAAAATCAGTCTTGGAGACTGACGTATTTTATTCTACAGAAAAAAATCAGTCTTGGCTACTGACGATTTTTTTCTACAGAAAAAAATCAGTCTTGGCGACTGGCAATTTTTTTTCTATAGAAAAAATCAGTCTTGGCGACTGTCCTGTATACTGTCGAAGATTTTTATAGAATAAATGAGTCCTGTGGATTGTCAAAAAATTTTCTGTGAAAAAAATACTGGCGATTTTTTTTTCTTTTTTTTTTTTTTTGTTATTTGAATTTTTGTGATCATTTGAAAGTGATTTTTAAGTGATTATTTATACTCTTTGGAGCTTGATGATCAAATTTTGCAATGAAAAGGAAAGCCAGGAGACAAACTAATTTTTTCCGTTGGTTAAGCGGCTCATCAGGCATATTGGGCTATGTGGCTTTTACAAAGGTCGTACGTTGATAACTTGTATTTATTCCGCCCTGATGCGTCCAGAGCAACACAGATGTTGCCAAGACCGCTTAACGTTCTGAGCCATTAACACTTCCAAAAACGGTTGCGCAAAAACATGTGTATACCAGGAAGCAATTGTAGGTGTGTGGATTAATTATCCATCGCTACAACAAAAATCTGCTTTGAAAGGACTTTCCTATTAAAAAATGTCGAACTTTGACAAATTTGAATTTAATTCGCATATGCATGTTTCGCATCAGGGCGGAAAAATACAAGTTATCAACGTATTTGTAAAAGCCACATAGCCCAATATGCCTGATGAGTTAACCAACGGCGAAATCCGCATAATGGTGGGTATTTCTTCTCCTGGCTTTCCTTTTCATTGCAAAATTTAGATCATCAAGCTCGACTCGAAAGAGTATAAATAATCACTTAAAAAAGATTTTTTTTTCTATCACTTTCATTCAATTCAATTTTTTTTCAATGGGAAAAAAAATAACAAAAACGATCTACAAAAATTTCACTTGCCTTTGAAATATTGTTTGTTTACAAATCTCAAATCATATTGTGTCATTTAATACTACTGTGAAACAAAACGATGACATGTTCGGCGACAACTTCGTTGACAGCCCACCGCCATCTA